ACGCCTACGTACGGACATATCAAACGGGTTTAACATCGTTGTTAAGATCTTCCTTGAATGAATTTTCCTAAAGCTCTTGAATAAAAAGGGAAGCCACTTGAAATCACTTCAACATTAAAAATTTTCGAACGATGGGTTATTATTGATTGATTGTTTGGAATCAATGATAGATTTTGCTCTCTGTGAGCTTTTTCAACTTAATTTGGAGTCATTATAGAAAAATCTTGACCCGTATGAGTTGAGTAACAATCAATAAACTGTAAACGCACAAGCACGATCTTGAACCCCTTGACTTTAATTCTAGTTTCGAAGCTGGCTTATTTTCTGCGTGACTAAAGATGAAGAAAGAAAGCTAGTGATAGAATCATAGGCTCCTATTTACTTCAAGCAGCTTCTATATTGGCCTGCTTCCATTTTCATATCAGACACGGGAATATGAAAGCGGATGCTTTTAAAACTTGTGACGTGATCACGGCGTCAATGTTAATAACAGAACAACTTATAGTTCGAAACCAATACTTGCGTATGACGGAATAAAAAGTTTTGTTAACGTGTGCTGGGACTCAGTGCATGAGTAAACTTTATGATGTCCTGAAAAACGAAGCAAAGAGCGTCAAGCGATACCAACTAGTGCCAGTCCTACGAGACCCAGTCGTTTCAAAATGTGCATACTTCAAAAGGATTGGACACCAAAAGAGGTCCAATACAGAATAATCCGAAGTACTAAGAGGGGTCTCGTCTCCTCTTTGAACGTATTAGGGACCTTAAGAAACCACGACGGCGACGGCAACGAGGACGTGGAAAAACAAGAGATCTAATTGGCAGAAAAATAGCTCAGCACGTGCGTTTTGAAACTTTGTACATTTCTTAGCCGTCCTATGCAAAACAACAACGTGAAATCGCCAAAATTTGCGTCGTCTGCGAACCAAAACCGCGACGGCAAATTATTTAAATTTCCATTTGGAACTCAACGACTGCTTTATTCGTCATGCTGAAGTTGAGCTGTGGCGCTATATGAGACAGTAAGCTCCTGCAGCCATTTTTGAAATTCTAACTAAGAATAGAAATTCATTTTTAATCGAAGTCTTCCTTGGCGTCGCCGTCGCGGTTTCTTAAAGTCCCTATTGTTTCTACAACTGCACTGGTTTTCAGATCCCTCGCCACTTGTGATTACTGTAGCAATAACCATGGGATATCGCCAGGAAACTTTGGGATTAAGACAAGAAGTCTATACTTGAAACACGTGTTCAAGATGGAGGAAACCCAGTAGTATTTTATTCCTTGAAACGAGGCGTTGACGTTAGGTGTTACACGTCACGCAATTCATCGTAAAAAAATTACTGCTGACAAGCGCAGAGCTAGCAGCACAATAGCTCACGTTCCGCTAATTGGCTACACGCTCTGATAACAAGGATGGAATCACAGCCAGAGAGCGCAGCAGGACGAGTCAAAGTTTATTATGCACATGAGAAGGAAGTGTCCATACTGAGGTATCCGATTAATATTCAATCTTAAAAGTGCAGTACAGGGGGTTTGATTCACAGTGGAACTTTACAATTTCCTTCCTGAGTAATGCAGTGTGTCTCTAAGGGCATCATAAGTGGTTCGCTTTCTCGCTTTACATTGGTCAGGGATATCCCTGACGCTGAGGAAGCAAAGCAAAAAATATGCATTAAAATCTTCCTCAATGAAATGAATTGTTTTAGACCTGACTCAGTTTTCTCAGATGCAATCGCTCCGCTATGAATTGCTTTGTAATTTCGTTTCGTGAGAACTTATGAAAATTCATCGGATATAGTTAAAGTACTTAAAGTGGTGTGCTGCATTCTTGTCATTCTCTACCATGGTTCTGCTCTATGCAACTATGTAATCAAAGACTTTGGCTCAGTGACTGTCGTGCGTTTACTGACATGAACAGAACACTAGCATATTTATAAAGAGATTTCTGGGGATCATCGTTTCAGACGGAACGCAAAGATCAGGAGTGTAGTTCAATTATTTTGTATTATAAAGTCTGAGAGGATCCAAAACACGTGCCATAGAATATTTCCAAATCCTGTAAAGATTTTCGCAGCTTCTTATCATTATTTGAGTCTGAAGGGATCCAAAACGCGTGCATCGGAATATTCCCAAATCCCGCAAAGATTTTCACAGCTTCTGATCATTATTTGAGTCTGAAGGGATCCAAAACGCGTGCATCGGAATATTCCCAAATCCCGCAAAGATTTTCACAGCTTCTTATCATTATTTGAGTCTGAAGGGATCCAAAACGCGTTCATCGGAATATTCCCAAATCCCGCAAAGATTTTCACAGCTCCTTAAAGCGCAAAGCTCTTGTGAAACATAGAGTGCGTTACAGATAAGTATAGATCTCAACAAGGGACATTTCATCTTGCTCGGAAATGACGTTTACATTTCCGTGCAAATTTTCTACGTTGTGTAAGCTGCAATGGAAATGTTAGCACTATATAATATTAACTTAGCATTGAATTAGGCTGTTATAAACGCCCAAATTATATATTTCCGAGAGAAACGTTGCTAAATGTTTTCACAGTCATGGAAACATCCTTAAATGAGTCGTTTCTTCTACGATTTCTAAACGTCAATAGTTTCATCGAGGTGTTGGTGCTCAAGAGAGAATGTTTGGTAAAAATTGAGCATTTCAGAAATTACGGACCACTAAGACTTTACAAATTAAAATATTTCCTGAGTTAGTATTAGAAAACACAAAACAAAAACTTCACGCAGCAATCTTTTGGAAGAAGGAATTTCGTAGCAAAAAGTTCGTCACCCTACTGAAATTGATTTTAATGTAAAAGTTGGTCAGAAGATCTTTTCCTTCTGAGTGTCATAAGTTGTGACTTTCATTAAACATTTGTAAAGAAGTCCTAACTGCACGAATAATAATGGAAGAGTGCAATTTGCTTAGGACTCCTAAGAAACACACATGTACACGATATTAGCTAAATGCATCAAGTTTCTTTTTGCCTACACCACCATATGGAAAATAAAAGAATTCTGAAAGGACTGTGAGGGAAAAAAAAATACAACATATATGTACGGTATCAAATTAAACCAAAATAAATCAGACAGACCGTGTTCTTCTCAGTGCTTTAGCAGATCCACGCACCTTATATTCATTTTCGCACCAGTCATTCTTTCTATAGAAATATTGAAGAAAACCACCCTTACAACCAGCTTTAAGAGGCTGCACATAACAGAAACAATCCTTTCAGTATTGTTCACGGATTTAATTTCCCTGTGCACATGGAACTGAAAAGAAAATTTCAAGTATCCGTCAATTGTTCAACTGGTTTTCCATTCTCTTCGGTTCGTCCATTTTAAATTTCGGGTAACAAAGCACTTGTAATTCTTTTGAAGAATGACGGATATGCAACCAGCAGGAACCATGAAGAGAATAAGTGCCTCTTCACATAGACTCCGTGTTCTGCTTGTATTTTTAGGATCACGACAACTGAGATTCCTTTTAGGTCAGCCACGGACGCATTCTCGCGTCTGTAAAAGGACACTAATCTGATCCAAATTAACTTGGCACTCAATCATAGTTTAGTTTAAACTGTTTTCACTTTTGGTGTTTTTAAACGATGAACCCCGATAACAGACAGTTTATTAGGTATGACGGTTCTTCCTCTGAAGAATAAAACTTATGGTTCAAATTTCTCCACGCGAAAGAAAAATCTGAAATCATCATTCCAGTTAAAACGTATCGACAAGGAGGGTGTTTTCCTACTCAGTGGCTTGACATTGCACCCTACTCACAGCATGACAAATTAGATTTATTTGAACCGGCGCCGGTTCTAAAGTAAAAAATATCCTGATTTTTGACTCGCAGTAATATAGTATCTAAAGAGCAAATTGTTAAAAAAGCTTTCGTAAGCCGTTTAGTGGACAAAAATGCTGTTGGTTAAGGCATTATTTACTTTAAGCACTACCTCCTAAAACGGCGTCAACACCAAAAGAAAACAAACATTGAATAGAATTCCTCCTGAGCTGTTTTTATTCTTAAAAGTCTTTAAAAGCTTAGGATTATATTTGCTAATGTAAGAAAAGTAGCTAGGGTGATAGTTACTATAGAACTGACCCCTTTGGCAGTGTTTTGATTAAAAGTTCGTGTATATTTTTTTCCAAGTCAAATGAAGATGGAGGAATCATGCATGTCCGACTCATCTTTCACGCACGAGTGTTGAAGGGACTCGATGCTTTCCCCACCAAAATACCGAAAAAAAATTAAACGCAGACATTTAAAATTTCTAAAGGGTAACGCAAGTCAAAGGAGTATACCTTTAGGCGGTGAAAAATCTGGTTCCATTTCTGACCAGCTAAGTCATGTGAGAAATAATTAGCTTCACAATGTAAGTTGGCGGCAAAGCTTATGCTCTCTTTACCTCAGGGTATTTATTCAGCCCCTTTTCCGCCCACCATTGACATTGAATAGACCAAAAATCATTCCTTTTGAGTCTGCTACACTTCTTTTTTCTCTATTTCGTTCCACTCTGATACTTATGGCTCTGCACATCAAAACCCTTGCTCCTCAATATTGACTCAAAAATGCACTCACACAGCAACTTTCAAACAGAGCGAAATGATAACAATGGTCCAGTTGGCCCAGAACCGTTCAAACTAGCTTGTACTTTCCTTTGGCTCTAACGATAAATCGAAAAGAGAGGCTTTTACAATTTACCTTTTGAAACTTTGTCCTAAATTCATCGATCAGCATTCGTCAAAAGGATATGCCAGATAAGAGAGCTCTTCATTTCGTTCAACAGTAATCTAAGTGCTTCTCCGCCTCTCTATGTCCTCACCAGTATGGCATATTTCTTGTTTTCAAATGCTTCGTCTGAGAACCAAACCATTTGAACTATTAAGGAATTGCACTTATATTTTTGAGAAACCAATCCTCGTATTAAAGGATTTTCGCTGTTGTCAGCTGTTCCTTTCCCATGCTTTTTTTTCATGTAATTACACCACCGACACTCGCATACTCTCTTACGAATGAAGTTTTATTGTGGAGCTCTCCTCCGAATTTAAAGTAACATACTAACATGGATGTAAATATATGTACATCAGATCATATATATGAACAGAGAAGCGAACTACCTCAACCAAACCACAATGGACTTTTTTAATTGCACATTCATAAACTCGACGGTAAGTCTAAATCCTATTCGTTCGACGAAGTGTCCTACTAGATTTACGCACCACATGAAAACATTTAGAACGAAATAAATTAAGAATTCTGTAGTAACTTAAAATGGTGAATCTGTGTTCTGGTAGCTATTTTCCAACCCATGGATTGTTAATAAAAGTTTGCAACCAAAAGCCACGAGCAGAAAACATTTGGCTATTAAAACTATCTTGCGTCCTTGTGCTCCCAGACTAAAGGAGGTGATGAACAGGTCACCAATTATTTACGAATTTTTTTTAGCAAAAGCATAGAGGATAAATAGCATGAATACATTGATAGAGTCACAGGCACTACATTAGTTTATCGACCACGAAGTCTTCCTTCTCTGGGATTCGCATCGGTCTCATCAATGAATTAATCTATATCGATATTGTCATAAAATTCTATCTTTTCCTGTATTTAAACTTCTGCTCAAATATGTCTTATTTGAAATCATAAAAACATTTCATTTCACTTTTCAATAGAAGAAAGAACCACTGAAGGAACGCTGTCTACCAATACACAAAACATTAAGTAAATGAGATGTCTGTTTTCAAATGAAGCCCGATGAAGCAAACACGCCCTTTGATACTCTTCATTTACCGCAGCAGGTTGTCTCTTCATTGGAAAAATCTGCTCCATTATCTTTTTATTGTCTGACAGTATTTCGAAGGAAAGACGGTGTATCCATTTGCGGGTCTTCTTTTCTCAGTTAGACATTGCCTATGTTACTTAATCCCGTGAAATGTAATCTATACCCTAACGTGAAGAGTAACTCTAAGAAAATCTCGAGGAACAGATTTATCAATGGCAAAATAAAAATGTCACTTTCTAACTACTAATAACAGAAAATGTCACGATGTGACAAAAGGAAAAAAATTCTGGCGTCCTTCTTCGAACGGGAGCCATAGTTTTGCTCTTGTATAAGTATCAGACTTGAGTTTTCGTGGACAGTGTAATTGACAAAATTGATGCGATTTAAATGTTCAACTCTTAGAATTGCGGCAATATTACAGTTAGGCACTTGGAGATATTTTACAGGTTCTCTTCCAAAAACTACAGAAAATGGGTTTTAGAGAGGGAGAAAGAAAAGATTTGTCGAGTTTTCTCGACTGATCGACAGTTTCAATGGTCTCTCTTGGCCATGGTTTAGGCTGTCATCTTGTAACGGCCAAAACAAGACTGTACAGTGATTCATTGTGAAATAATTCCTCCACAGTTTATAGAACATTACTGGTCTTTCTTTACCATTTACAATACGAGTACGCTTGCATGCAAGACGAGTTCATGGATGAAATAGGCGCTGTGTAAGAATAAGAGTTCCCGTAAGAGTTTGTGTAGTCGTAAGTTGGTTGATATTGGTTCGGGTAGTAATTTCCCACGGAGTTGCCAAAATCACTCGAATAACATGGCTGACCTTCGCGGATTAAAACGGGCACCGGCACAGTTCTGGGATAGAGCGAGTGAGAATCTTTAAATTCTCCTGCTTCTGTGGCTTGCTTCTTTTGCTTGTATCGATGATTCTGGAACCATATTTTGACTTGTGTTGGCGTCAAGTTGATCATCCGGCCCAGTTGTTCTCTTTCTGGGGCTGACAAGTAGCGCTGATATCTGAATCGTCTTTCCAACTCATAGATTTGGTGTTTGGTGAAGAGCACCCGTCGTTTTCTTTTCTTTGGAACATCGCTAGACTCGTCTCTGTTAATTTTTGGAGCTTGCTGTAGCACATCGTTCCCTGCACAGTCTTCGTTCATCTCAGGATGTGGTCGAGGACCTAATCGAACGAAAGCGGGTAAAGGCGTTTGATGAGATTCGATAACACCGATTAAGGGGTGATTTGGTTTTAAACTACCAGCGAGGCGGAGCCGAAGTCAATGACTCTTATGTTCTACAAGTTCTACTCTTTACTTAGAAAAGCTTTCCAAAAACAACGTGAACCGAAGAGGTGGGTTTCACGAGTTTAAAAAACTGCAAGGAAAAAAACTCGTTATTTACGATGGAATTTTGGCGTTCTTAGGATTTTCAGCATAATCTCGCCTACCTTTAATTTGCTTAGCACCGACTTTCATCTCCTGTGGCTTAAAAAGTATCAAAATATGGAGCCGCTGCTCTTAAGCTTGTTTCTTTTTACTGCGTCTCTGTGCAGATGACGCTCACTTACAAAGATGACATTTCATGTCCTTAGTCACGAAAATGGAATAACAATCTGGTGTGAGATTCACCATCGCCTGACAGATTAGTGAGCGCTTGTCCGAGTAATCTGCCCTCAAAACGGACAATTTTCAGAGGAATTTTGTGGCATGGAAAATAGAATTTAAACTCAATCCCTGCACCTACCCGAAGTGTTGTCTTGGCTTTGCGGACCGGATGGAGGCATCGTCGTTATTATGCAATTAGATCCTGTAGAACGATCGGGGGAGAGATTAACACCTTGGCAAATATTGGGAACCCGTGGAGAAGCGTTGGAGCAGCTTTGAAGACACGATTCCGGCAGGCTGAGGATGTTCTTCACAGAGAAAGAAGACATTACTGAAGTCCTGACGGACGCTACTCAAGATGGCTGCTGGCCTATTGACTGTATACAGATCAAAGGGTAGGTTGGAATGTGTGGGTTGGTTAATGAGCGAGCTTGAGACACGTCATGTATGACTCGCCTGAATTGACATAGAACACATGTTATTATTCACTGTTTGAGGAGAATTTATTTAGGGTGATAAAAAGATGTCACCCCTTTGACATGTACGTTAATTAAAATGATAGCTATTGAAATGTTTCAGACAAAAGCCAAAGGTTTTATAGGGCTTAAAACGATTCCCTTTAACTTGGCCTTGCCTTTTCCCTGACTATCTGTTCGTTAACAGCGTATTCCAATTAAGGCTTTAATCTCATTTAGTGAGCTGCCAATCCGGTGTGCGTTTTGCTATCCTGGTGTAATTGAACGATCTTTGACCACTTCCCGTATCCTAATGCCTTTCTTCCCTCACGCCTCTCAAAACATTGAATTAACTCGGCAGAAGAGGGCGGGAAAACCATTGTTCAATGGTGGAGCTGGCGAATTGTTTATTAAATACAGTTAACTGGATTAGCTCTTGAGCAATTAACCGTTTAGAAATCAATTCCTTCCAGTGATTTCTTAAACTAAGACGACTGAACCGTTTTCAAAAAAATTAATATCTGTGTTCACGAGGCTTGCGTTATTGCTTCACTGAAGCACTACGTGATTCTGGCCTAAATTAAAGAATCAATGATTTTGAATTGCTAATAACTCGTTTCGACAGGCCTGACAACTTTGCCTTCCTATAAAAACCTTCAGAAATTAGATTGATTGATAGATGTTTTCTTGCCAAAATTAAAATAGGTTCTTTTGTTATTTCTCAACGGGTGAAGCTTTGAAATGCTGCTGTCACAATACATTTTGACGACCAATCCCTCTCGTCTCACGTCGACTTGAAATCTAAAAACAAAATCGTATCTTAAAAGGTTTTAACAGATTTCCAGTTCTTTAATTCCTTAACACGAGCTGTTGACAGCTACTTCAGCGCTACGCATCTCAACCTGTTTTGATTCGCAGTTGATATTTCAAGAAGATATGACCTAAATCGGTTAAGTCTTGTTCTCGAGAACAGTTCTGTCTGGTTTGAGAATCATCTCAAAAAATTAAAAGTTAGTTTTCGAGGGGTCATCCCCAAAGTTTAGGAAAACTTCGACCAGTGCCGGTAGTTTTGATATTTCTTTGTATCTAAACCCCCCACTATTTCTGATTACTATTTAATTTACTATGGGGGTGGTCCTAATTTCAAGACCTCTCGGACTGTTTCTTGACACTAAAATAAGCTTCTACGCTATTTATTTTTCTGCTTGTAAGGTTCGCAAACCCTGTAAATATTCCAGAACATGACAGATCGTATAATTAAGGCCTGCCAAGCATCGTGCGGTCTTGTCAATGTTTGCAAATGTCGTAGAACATCAGCATATCTACTAAGGCTCAAAACACAGGAAGCAGCCACATTGACCTCAACAAACATCTAGGTTTTTTACAATAAAACACAAATGTTTTGAATACCTGCTTGGGGGATTACTATCAAAGTGACAAAGATGTTTCTGTGACCCATAACAGCGCATGTATAGACCCTGTTTCTGTCAATGTTTGATTTCATTGATGCTATCAATCGCACATCACAATGAATGAACCCGGCAGAATATTTTTTCCTCGCGAAAAACCTACTTGTATGTACCTCGTATCTTCGTTGAGGTGGAAGTTCATCGAGGAAAGTGAAGTTTACTCAATTATGTTATTGTTTTCGTTACCTCGTTTTTCGTTGTTAATCTAAATCTCAGTTTCATCTTTAAAGGTCACAAGGACAGCTCTTTGGCGTCATCTACTATCGTTTTTGACAAGTGGGCAGAATTATGATGACTTTGATTTTGCCAGCGATAGCAAACATCACGGAATCATTTCCCACGTCTTCAAGTCTTTTTTCTTCAAACCAGAACTGTATTTAAGCTCAATGATCTCCTCTTAAGCTTGAGATAAAATTTCAGTGCAGAAAAAAAACGGCCAAATGCGAATTTACGTCAGGTAATTATTTTCAGTTTCTCTTCATCAAGTCTACGCCCCTTGTCTTTGCCTTTTCTAGTTTTAATGGTGGGCTGGACTAACTTTTTGACCCGGGCACACTAGGAAAACAATTTGGCGCCTCATCGTGACACGAAGCAGATCTTGTCATCAAAACATCTTTTATGGCTAAACTCAAACAAATCAGTGTGTTTTATGGTTTTTGGAAAGCTCCCTTGACACAGCATAAAGGAAGGGTGATGCCAAAAGAAAACTACTCGCTCGGAGATTAAAAGCTTAGCGTCTGAACTTCCGAAATAAGATTGACCCCACAGTAAATCTGTTTTGCCATTTCCACCTTAAATTGCTTCATTTACAATAAGGTTTTGGTAATTAGAAAATCCTTTCGAGGGAGTCAGAGCTTTCGGTGATTATAAATGGTTTGAAAAAAGGAGTAACATCCCTTCTGATAATTCTCAGAAATAATTTGGAGATTTTTTCTCTATGGGACTCATTTCAGCCGAAAATCATTCAAGCGTAGAAATTGCTAAAAAGATTGAAAACATATGCATTTTAATAACGAACTTAAAACGGATTCACATATCTATGCATACGTACAGACCGTACATGCCGGACTGTTGAAGAATGAGTATGAGAGACGTAAGGCATATTTAGCTATCTAATTATTAAATTGAAAAGGATCTTTCTCAAATATTGAGAACTATAACAGCTCTTGAATCCTGACCCTTAAGTAATTCAAACTCATACTCCAAATCTAACGTTTTCATCAAAATTATAAGGGTGTCCTTCTGCTAGGATAGTTATGGAATGACATGCGAGGTTATTTTCTGTTATCTTGTGCCTATTTTGGGGGGTCTGTTTAAGGGTCAGACAATGCACCTGTATAAATTATAACTGAAAAACTCGGTCAAATTTGTCAAACGGTCAAATGGCTTATTGGGGTGATCGACCAAATGAGATAACAAACCAAACCCGGCTATGGTGTGGTATGGTCCCAGCCGGGCTTGTAATAAGTTCAGTGGTCATAACAGAACTGATTTCAAGCAAAAAGGCTACAGGGGACTCTGCTGCACTCTTAACATCTTACCTTCGAGATCTCATGCATTCTTAGCCGCGATGAGAAAAAAGACAACATCCAGTCAATGATAACGGGGCACTCTCTCATGCATCGAGTTTGGATTACGTAGCACCCACAGGTGTCCTACTCAAAATTATTCTAATGGGTTGTCGTTTCCTGGAGATGGAAATGATGAAGTAAGAATAGTTTTACGTTATTTCCTGTCAAAAAAATTCATCCAAAGGTCGTCTGCTTTAATTAAAGTTATTTTGGCATGGAATTAAAGGGAAGCAATTCATTTCGACCGCGAACCAAATCCATCATCCCATCCGTGATAGGGGCCTGGTGACAAAGTTTTGTTGCGAAAGTAATTACCTCTGGCTTTTGTTATCTGCCATTTGGGTCAGAATACAGCAAGAAAGTTATCCTCATTTAGCTGTCAGGAATTGGACAGCTACTGTGTTGTAATAAAGCTCAGCTTTTGTTCCAAAGAACGCGGGTGGTCCCAAACTTACAAATAATTTGACGTTTCAACCTTCAACTTGCTGAAGGTCCAATCATTAGGCATTACCCCTAACATTGCACCTTCATTATTTTATTGACACCGTGACCCATGTTCAACACAACGAACAAAACAGGGCAACTATTGTGAATATATTTTTATAAGATTTTTGTGAATTTTTAACCATTAGACGGGAAGCTACTGACACATATGAAATATGTGACAATGTTGTTGTGTTTTTTTTTTCGAGCTCCACCGATAATTCTAAGGGGTATTTGAGAGTTAATTTCCCACAATAAGATTTTGAAAGTTTTCCGGTCGTATTCAGGTGTTTCAATTAGTTTTATTCCATAATGTATGCAATAAATGTGTTGTATTCGATGGAAAATATAAACTTCCCTAGTTAATAAAAAAATATGTCACAAAAAAAGAACTGTCAAAAGGAAACAAAACCCACAAAGACATACTTTTGATTAGACGGTTAAAAACCTCGAACTAGTAAGAAAAAAAAAAAAAAAACACATAATACTAATGATAGAAAAAAATGTTCATTTTGCAGTCTTTGAAAAGTACTTACCCATTATTTCAAACTAGAATCACACTCTAGGAAAAAAATTCTAAGTTTAAAATCATAAGTTTGAGATACTTTTCCTTACACCTTGCAGAAATTGTTTGGTACATATAATTCTAATCGGTCACGAAGGAGGGTTCCATTCAAATGCTAAAAATTTACAAAGGCACCTTGCTCAGCATATTACAAAAGTACCACACGAAAGTACAACTCTGTGCATCATAAGGATTTTTCGTCACCAACCTGTGGTGGTTAGGGCTAGAGTCAGAGTTAGAGAAACCTCATATTTAATAATAAACAGTACAACGCAAAGGAACTACCCAACTGCTTTTAATTGAATGTCACACGCTAGGGTTTTATCCAAAGACATAGCGCTAGAGCCATCTTGTGAAGAACAAAGAAAAAAACTGCACCAAATGAAAATACTGCTCAGTAGCTCTCATTTGATTGGCATACACTGGGCTTTTATCAACAGACTAAAAGTCTGAATACCTTGTGAGGTTTAATTAAGGTAGTACGTGCTCAGATCGAGAGCTTTCATTTGCACGCGAAAAAACTTTCCAACCACCTTGCCCAGCAAAACAATCAAATCCACGAGAATGTAATACATAGTGGCGTTGATTCATTTAAATAAACTAGTCACCATATATGTGGGGTTGTGCTCACAAACGTCCAAGTTAGAACCACCTAACACAGGAAAATAAACAATACCGCATGAGTCTATTGCTCAGTAGCTTTCATTTGAATGGTCACACACAAAGGTTTTATCTGAGTTTAAAAAGTTACAACCACCCAACCACAATAAACTGGTTCTTGCAGCTTTTAGTTAATTGTAGAATATTGCCCCCAAACTTCAATAAAAAGTTCCGACTGAATTTATTCCTGGATGAAGAAGCGAGAACAAAAAGATTGGTGTAAGTTCTTTTTAAAGAATATTCCTTGACTTATACTCAGCCAGCTGCTACCATCCACGTTGTCTCATAATGATTTTAATTGCTTTTCTGTTCATATTTGCATAGTTTTTCAGCCCGATATGTGAGATTAGTCGACCTCTTCCACGTACACTTCTCTTTAAGCTTCTTTATCGTTGCCATCATGTTTTTACTGCATTTTAAAGATGAAAAAAAGGCTTATTCATTATATTTTCTTTTTCATTTCCTTTCGCCAGACTTAGGTAATTCTATACTTTGAGAGTATGTACAAGAGAGATAATAGTTTTGTCAATTCGAAGAGCAACAACTTTAACCTTCGTATGAAGCATTGTGATATTCCAAATTTTACCGTGGGTTCCCAGGTTGAACTTCAAATAAAATTTTTAAAGGTATTATGCTTCCCGAGACTTATGCGATCGAGAAAGAGTTTCTCAAAGGTCAATACTTGATTTAAAAGCTTATGCAAGAGTCGAGGTTAAAATTTGCGTGGGACAAACTCCCCTGGTTTTCAGCCGGCTGGACGAAAAAACGCTTTCTCATTAACAGTAAGATTTGAAATTGTTTCGCGTTTGTAATAAATGTCGCATTGTTTAATCTAACTGCCTTCACCTGTGCTGACACGCACGGGCAATGTGTTAACTTTTATTCGTTTTTATTCACATCGATGAAGTTCATGGACAACAATATGTGGAACGCGTGGCATTGGACAAACGGAATTGTCAACACGGAGTCATTTATGCCCGGTTGAGATGAAAAACACACACTTCGGCTGTCAAACTAGTTTTATGAACTGGGGGAAACTAATTAAACCTCATGCAAACTGACCGCCAGTTTCATTCATGGAAAATGATGACACTTGACATGCGATCTTGTCTGCAAAGAACAAAGGCTCCAACATTGCTTTTATGAACTCTCAGATTCTTGAAGTTTTGAGACATGAGCGTTGTGAGATATGCCATTTACCTAACGTTCTAATTTGTTCTAATGTGCTTCCGACAGACAGACAAAAAGGAGAACGTGTTATTGAATAGCAAGGCTGTGTGTTCATTTCCATTGTGAACAGCTCCCATGTTCTCACAAGAATTCTACCACCAAAAACAAACAAGGAAACGTAAAACTTCATAAAGATATTTCAAGCGCGCCAAACATACTAGCGGTATTATAAATAGATAACGTGAACGCGAAAGACACTTTCTATTACATAGATAAAGCGGAGGACAAAAAGGATAAACTTGTCAAAGGAAATGAACCTGTGGCTGCAAATGTGTTCTGAGTAAACAGGGGGGACACCTTTCCTCATACCATGATTACTTGGTTAAACTTTATTAGGATTATATCGGAAGTAACCATCACTCTATTTGCATTGTATTCCAAACTTTGCCAAG